TTGAGTTTGAATTTCAATATATATTTCGGCTCCACTATAAATATTAGCCCAAGCCAATATGCATGTTATCATTGATTATTCCTAATTTCCATTGTTTTTTTTCCAACGTTTAAACGCGAGGGAAATCCCGACCATTGTATTTTTTGGTCAACTTTAAAGCGTCAGAAACGTTTCGGGCGTATGATCTGGGTGGTAAACAAATAGCAACTAAAATCATAAGTCCGAAATGCTTCTGAGTACCACCAAAATCATAAGTCCGAAATACTTCCGATGCTCATCAAAATCCAAAGCTCATATGGTGCCAAGCAAAAGGAAATCAAAATTCAAATCTCATATGATGCCAAGCAAAAGAAAATCAAAATCTACAACTTGAGTTTGAACATTGATATGATATGTACAGTTGTTATCATGTTGGGATTTTCTCGTTTTTGATTGCTTGGATAGTTGTTCTCTTGCTTCTTCAAGTGTCCTTAGCTTGTAATTTATAGCTTGGAATGTGTTTGATGTTGTATATATTATTATTAAATTAAAAACAATAAACATATATATTACATATTTATTATTATCTTTGGTTATTGTTGTTAAATTAAAAATTCTAAATAATATTTTATAAAATATCAAATAATCAAATAATTTTTTGTGCAAATGAAATTATTAAATTAATATTGTAGGTGGAAAACATAAAACACTATTAAAAAAAATTGAAACATAAATTACATAACTTTAAAAGAAGTATCGATCTTTTTTATAAAAAGTATGGACACTTTCAATATAATAGGTAAAAATATGATGTAATAGGTAGCGCTTATATAATGTAATAGGTATCGTTTAAATAATGTAATAGGTAGTGGTTATATTGTAAAGCGTCTATCCTTTTTATAAAAGTGTCCATACTTTTTTCACTGTGGAAAACATTAATTTAAGGTTATTTTTTGAGTGAGTTTTAAGATATTAATTTAGTAATTATAGGCGTCTAATGATTTATTTTTACGTTACGATATATTATTATTAAATTAAAATTCTAAATAATATTTTATAAAATATCAAAAAATCAAATAATTTTTTGTGCAAATGAAATTATTAAATTAATATTGTAGGTGGAAAACATGAAACACTATTAAAAAAATTGAAACATAAATTACATAACTTTAAAAGAAGTATCGATCATTTTTATAAAAAGTATGGACACTTTCAATATAATAGGTAAAAATATGATGTAATAGGTAGCGCTTATATAATGTAATAGGTATCGTTTATATAATGTAATAGGTAGTGGTTATATTGTAAAGTGTCTATCCTTTTTATAAAAGTGTCAATATTTTTTTCACTGTGGAAAACATTAATTTAAGGTTATCTTTTGAGTGAGTTTTAAGATATTAATTTAGTAATTATAGGCGTCTAATGATTTATTTTTTACGTTACGATATATATTATTATTAAATTAAAAATTCTAAATAATATTTTATAAAATATCAAATAATCAAATAATTTTTTGTGCAAATGAAATTATTAAATTAATATTGTAGGTGGAAAACATGAAACACTATTAAAAAAAATTGAAACATAAATTACATAACTTTAAAAGAAGTATCGATCCTTTTTATAAAAAGTATGGACACTTTCAATATAATAGGTAAAACTATGATGTAATAGGTAGCGCTTATATAATGTAATAGGTATCGTTTATATAATGTAATAGGTAGTGGTTATATTGTAAAGTGTCTATCCTTTTTATAAAAGTGTCAATACTTTTTTCACTGTGGAAAACATTAATTTAAGGTTATCTTTTGAGTGAGTTTTAAGATATTAATTTAGTAATTATAGGCGTCTAATGATTTATTTTTTACGTTACGATATATATTATTATTAAATTAAAAATTCTAAATAATATTTTATAAAATATCAAATAATCAAATAATTTTTTGTGAAAATGAAATTATTAAATTAATATTGTAGGTGGAAAACATGAAACAGTATTAAAAAAAATTGAAACATAAATTACATAACTTTAAAAGAAGTATCGATCATTTTTATAAAAAGTATGGACACTTTCAATATAATAGGTAAAAATATGATGTAATAGGTAGCGCTTATATAATGTAATAGGTATCGTTTATATAATGTAATAGGTAGTGGTTATATTGTAAAGTGTCTATCCTTTTTATAAAAGTGTCCATACTTTTTTCACTGTGGAAAACATTAATTTAAGGTTATCTTTTGAGTGAGTTTTAAGATATTAATTTAGTAATTATAGGCGTCTAATGATTTATTTTTTACGTTACGATATATATTATTATTAAATTAAAAATTCTAAATAATATTTTATAAAATATCAAATAATCAAATAATTTTTTGTGCAAATGAAATTATTAAATTAATATTATAGGTGGAAAACATGAAACACTATTAAAAAATTGAAACATAAATTACATAACTTTAACAGAAGTATCGATCATTTTTATAAAAAGTATTGACACTTTCAATATAATAGGTAAAAATATGATGTAATAGGTAGCGCTTATATAATGTAATAGGTATCGTTTATATAATGTAATAGGTAGTGGTTATATTGTAAAGTGTCTATCCTTTTTATAAAAGTGTCCATACTTTTTTCACTGTGGAAAACATTAATTTAAGGTTATATTTTGAGTGAGTTTTAAGATATTAATTTAGTAATTATAGGCATCTAATGATTTATTTTTTACGTTACGATATATATTATTATTAAATTAAAAATTCTAAATAATATTTTATAAAATATCAAAACAATCAAATAATTTTTTGTGCAAATGAAATTATTAAATTAATATTGTTGGTGGAAAACATGAAACACTATTAAAAAAAAATTGAAACATAAATTACATAACTTTAAAAGAAGTATGGATCCTTTTTTATAAAAAGTATGGACACTTTTAATATAATATAATGTAATAGGTAAATTTGCAATACTATCGGTATAAATATACCAGTTTACTTATAAAATAGGTAAATATAAGCGCTACCTATTACATTATATAAGCGCTACCTAGTATGTTATTGTACTTTATAATATTTCCGGTTAAATAATATAACATAACCGGTATAAATTTTAACCGGTCACTTGTTTAACCGGTCACGCCGTATATTAGCCGTTTTTTAGGCGCCGCACCGCAGAACTACCCCAAGAATATGCCGGAGCTTCTTTTGATTAATTGGGATTAACTATTTAATAAATTATTATAATATTAGATATTTATATTGAATATCATGTAGGCATGTAAATGAATCGAACGTTTAGCGAATCGTTCGACGAGAAGTTTATTTATGTTCGTTTATTTATTAAACGAACGAACATGAACATTAATTTGTGTTCATTTAATTAAATGAATGTTCATGAACAGAGGCTCATTCGTTCATTTCGTTTGTGAGTGTTAGGTAATATATTTGTTCACTTATGTTTGTTTATATTAGTTTGTTTATGTGCGTTTATTATGTTTTTAACTTATGCAATAACTACTTTAATTAACTTATTTTAATGAAAGATTTAGAAAGATTTTGATGTGAAGTTAAACTTTTTATAGATATTTTTCCATTTACAAAAATTGAACTAGAAAATTTATTTAAAAGATTAAATTTAAGACATTATTTAAAATATATTAAATCGTATCACTTACTCTAGGGGGTGTTTGGTTCAAGGATTGTGGGATTCTCATGGGATGTGAATCCCACATTCCCATGTTTGGTTGGCCGGGAATCTCATTCCCGGTAATGTTTTATTACCAATAGTAGATTTTTTGGGGTATATTATCGGGAATGTCATTACCTCCATTCCCTTAGGTATTGTAACATTATCGGCATTTTGGACTAAAATGCCCGTAAATTTTTATTTTTAATTTTCAAAAATATCCTTCTTCTGTCATTGAATAATAAAAATTCTATGAAGATTAAATTACAAATTTATCCTTAAATTATTTTAGATTTACAAAAAAAATATATAATTAAAATTTTATATGAAGTTCAGGGGTTAAAAATTTTTGTTACCCTTTCATTAAACCTTTTTTATATTTTTAATTTTGTAAAAAAATTATATAAATATTATGAATTTAATTTTTAAAGAAAATATATAAATATTTTACAATTTGTAATATTATACAAATATATAATGAGGACAATTTGGTCAAATATACATTCTAATAATCTTTTATTCCTTTAACCAAATACGATAATCTTATATTCATGCTAAACCAACCAAACACAAAATACAACATTCCCAGTAATCTTATTCCTTGGTAATCTTTTATTCCCACTGATAATCTTACATTCCGTGAACCAAACGCATCCTAATAAGCTTTACTATATTCATGGATAAAATAATTATATGTCATTTAGTTATTAATAAGATTATAAATAGATCAATAAATTTTAAAAAGTTACAGACATTCCACTCAATTAATTTATTATTATAAACAGGCCAATTCATCATTAAGTATATAACAAGCATTAATTTTGGTTACAATTGAGTTTATGATTGCAACAATCGATAGATTAAGTGATCTAATTGTTATAATTGATAAATCAAATAATATGATTATAATTTAAAAAGTCAACGTCCATTTTACTTTTGACGATGTAATAATATGTTTATAATAATTGATTACTTGAGTGATTATAATTAAAAGGTTAACGTCCATTTTACTTTTAACGGTATAGTGACCTGTTTGTAGCAGTCGAGTACTTAAAGATTTGTTTTCAATTTTTAAAAATGTAATGACTTATTTATAATGTTAACAATAATTAAATGACATATGGTAGAATTTACCCTATATTTAACGAGATTTACTTTCATATAAATAATCCGATTGAGTGGTGCGGTGCGCACACTATAATTAAACTATTAAATATTCGTTCGATCCAAACATGATAAAATTTGCAGAAAATTAATTATTGTAAATGTTAAATCTGCGAATCTTATATAAACTCAACGTAAACGAAAAGCAAAGATATCATCACATTCACGCCTTTCCTTTTTTTTTTCAATGGTGATCGAAGTAAACGACAGTTGCGGGAGCAAAGCGAAGGACACATCGCCATTTCAGAGCCGCCGCCAACAGCAACAGAAACTCGAAGTGTACAACGAAGTACTGCAGCGGCTTCGAGAATCCGGCAAAGACGAGGCTATTCGGCCCGGTTTCGAAGACGAGCTTTGGACTCACTTCATGCGTCTCCCTACTCGGTATGATCCGTTTTTCATTTCTTGCTTTCCTTCTAAATTTACTACGTGCAAAGAATACAAATTCAAAAGAAGAAGAAAAAACTACCAACATTTCACATAATTTTTGTTATATATCTATATCTGTTGAGGTACTGAATCTCAGCTACTATTTTTGCTTTTTAATGTTTGGATTTTGTGCATCGACGAATATAAAGCATTTTGAGTTGAAGGAATTGTTTGGCTTAATATCACGGTTAAATCAGTAGCGCTTAATATGCAATTTTATCTCTTAAGTTTTTGTTAAAAATTTTAATTAGTGGATTAATATCTCGATATTACTTTTTTTATGCTTGGCTTGCTGCCGATAAGATCCGAAACAAGTAGAGTGAACCAGATTTGATAGTTTCCTTTTTTACATTTTTCTTTTAATTTCTGTATAAATTGAATATTATGATATTTGTTAATTGATCGTGTGTGAACATATTTTCAGCTATGCATCGGATGTGAATGTGCAAAGAGCAGAAGATGTTCTGATGCACAAGAGATTGCTGTATTTGGCTCATGATCCCGCCAACAGACCAGCCATGGAAGTTCGACTCGTGCAGGTGATTAGCTTTCTTTTTCTTTTGGGTTACATTTCATGAATAGACATTGTGATTTGCTTCAAACTTTTAGTATAAGCAAAAAATTGTTACTGCTAAACATTAATTTCTTCGTCATTCTTAGAATGATGTGTATTTTTGAAAAATCAGAACTTGTCATATCCGACTTCTTAGTATCTCACTTTTTTTAGATTATTAGAAATATTCATTGTATATGACATTGCATACAAGGATGACTAATATATATGCGAAAAAAATTGGAAGTTGAAATATTATTTTGGTCTTTTAAGGTTCTAGTCATGTGGTGTGCTGCAAAATAAAAGTTTTGCTTTGCAAAGGACTATTCATCTGAATTCTTTATCTTTGACGTTTGGAAAAACTAGTGCAGAAGTGCATGCATCAATTTTCATTAATTATTAGTGTTAGGTTTATGGTTCTGGACTCTGAAAGATTTGCCCCAAATCTTGGTAGGCTAGTATAAGGTCTTTTGGTCTTGACCTTGTCTCGAATTAGTTGGCTGAAGATGATTTATTCTTTTAGCTTGTGCCTGTCTATTTCATCTTCGCATCATGGAGGTCAATTTTCATGCTTTTCTGTTGTATTCATACTATGAATTTCATAGTAATGGTGGAAAGATACGGAGATATAATGGTGAAACTTGGAATGTTTTTTCACAAACATAATGATATTTGATTGCTTATTGGAATTGGTAGATGTGTTTTGGCTGTTTATCTAAGTTATAGGTTGGCCCTTTTAAATCTTTCTAAAATGAATGTTAGCATTGAATTGTAGCTGTCAATAAACACATCAATTATCTAGTAGACAATTGCAGTTTTTTTCCTGAATAGAGACAATTGCAGTTGCTACTACTGAATAGGGATATAAATTATGAAGTTATGAAAGCTAACGGTTACGGACCTTGCAATGTTATATTTGATATAATATGCATACTCAACACTATTAGAAGTTATAATGTTTTCCAAACACATTTTCCCCTTCCTTTTCTCACTATGTTCAACCCAACCATGTGATATCATATGCACTTCATTGTTACTTTTAAAAGTGCATTTGCGTTTCTCATTCTCATTGGACAACTTCACGTATGTTTCATCTATTTGTTATTGCTTTTATACCCATCTCTGGATCATGTGAGCATCTGCGGGTTTCTTCTAAGCATTCAAGTTCTGTATTTGAAATAATGTGTTGTCCAAATGTCATAACCTATTGGTCCAAGCTCTTAATTGTTCTGCACTTTTTTTGAACTTTGTTTGCAGTCAAATGTATAATGAGGGTTATCTACTTGTGTAGGTCCAATCTATTTCTGATGAGAGTTTGGCTGATTCATCCCTTTCAAACCTCCCATGTGAGGAGTCTGCTCAAAATTCTCCAAGACACTCTAGCAGACAGAGGTTTGCTTTTATTTTTCACTTCGCACATTGATTTTGTCGTTAATGATGCTGACAATTCTAGCTGGCTTTTCAATTGCTAGCATACATCCACCACCTGCCTTTGGCTCATCGCCTAATCTTGAAGCCCTTGCACTTGAAGCAAATAAGTCTAAGGATCAAGATGGAAATAGCTCTCTACCTGCCAATTCACATCTTTCCCGGTATTTAGCTATTTATTTACGCCTTAAAATGTCCTTAGGCAAGGGCTGATTGTTTCTACTAAAACTTTGGTTAAGTTAGTAGCAGTTTGGTTTTTTTGGACTTATCATCTTATAGTTTTTTTAATATTATGTATGGATCATTTTAATAATTAGGAGTGCATGAATTAATATGGTCTTGTAAAGTTCAACCCTCTTTACCCGAGAGCAATGCTTCCTCACCCACCATCTTGTGTTGACTTCAATTTTAGGTGTGTTTTCACCGTTATGTGCTGACATCTAGTCATTTTTAGCTTTCATCTGCCTGACTTACCGTTCACATATTGATACTTGTGTCATTTTTGGTGAAGATTATAAATACGTTATAACCATTTTGGATGGTGAAATTTACATTCTTTGATGCTGATGCAGGCCCATGCATGAAGTTACATTTTCAACAGAAGACAAACCGAAACTTCTTAGTCAGGTATATGATAGGTTTGTTTGTGTTTTTATATATGTGTGTATATAAATATATATATATATATACACACACAAATTTTTGGAAGGGGTTTTTGAACTTCTAGGAGCTGTGTACAAGATAAAAAAATGGCCAGTGAAAATTATACATTCTCATAAGCCGTGAGAATCAAAACTTACCTCCAAAATGTGGCACAGAAAGGGGTATATCATATGTACTCCCATGATTACAAGTAATTTATTACATTATATGCAGACCTGTTTCCTCATCTGAAACAGACCTTCAGAGGAATTCTTCCCTTCCCTTTTATAATCCATTGGCCGTAATCTCTCTAGCTTTTGTAGCACCAGCTAGTGAAGTCTGTTCATCGACTTTTTTTTTTTTTTGCAGTGGAAGTTTGGAATGATGAGTCTGAGATTTACCCTTTGATTTTATGGCTATAGGTGTAATTTTTTTATCATCTGTTATCTTGAAGTTGCTTTTAGAACTCGGATGGTTGCACTCTTAGATTCTTTTGGAATAAAATAACAAAAAACAATGCTCCTTAGGTTACATATGAGCTCTTGGTTCAATCAACTGCCCGCACATATTGTTCTCTGATTGGTCATATTGCATGTAAAAACAAGTATATATTTTGTTGTTATCAAAACTTGAATTAATCCGGTAGAGAGTTCTTGAGCTTATATGAGAAATGTATATCTTTTAAATATTTGACCATGCCGTATTGATTCTCTTTCCGTTGATTGTGCCTATGCAATGTTTGCAGTTCAGCGCATTGCTTGCTGAGATTGGGCTGAACATCCAGGAAGCGCATGTATTTTCCACAATTGATGGTTACTCATTGGATGTTTTTGTTGTTGATGGTTGGCCTTATGAGGTACTTTTTATTTTAATATCTTCTATAGCTATAGCCTATATACATAATTGTTTTCTACAATGACTATTTAACTAAAACTAAAAAATAACAATTCTCATGGTTTGTTTTTATATGTTATGTTTATATGTCAAATTATATAAGGCACTTTTCCCCTCAAGTTATGGATTCTTTCATTTGTTACTTTAGAGGGTAATTATTTTTGTTTTCCGTGTATTCATATTAAAATTCCATTTAGACAACTAGATGTGTGCATGCTGCTGTACGGAATGGTTTAAGGTTTGGTATTACAGGCTTATAATTGTTTTACGATTCGCTTGACGGACTTTTGTTATGAAATTGTCAGGAAACCGAGCTGCTTAAAGTTGCTTTGGAAAAGAAAATCTCAAAAATTGAGGTAATTCTCTATTGACAAAACACGATTCGGTACAAATAAGAATTTAAATATGACAAATACATAAACTTGTCAAAATTTATATAACGTGAATTATTAACATATTCAAATTTATATTGATATATGACAAGTTATATATATATGCCACTATGTCATGAAAAATAATACAAACACGAGACATCAGACATCATGAATACACATTGCTAGGTCTAGTTTTATCACCCTCTACTGATTAATATGGAATGTTGTTGTGTTCCAGCTCTGAGCGTGCTTATCATTTTCACCTTACCTGTCATGTTCACATACTGGATTTTTGAGACTTGAGAGTCTAATTTAACAAAAAAAAATCTGCTGACAGTTTTCCTTTGGCTTTCTCGAACTTTTCCAAGTGAAGCACTGCATGATAAATTTACAAAATTGATCAGCTGTAAATAGGGCTTTCTGTTGCTTGAAATGTTTCGAATTTACAATATCATTATACTAGTGTTGATCTCCATGCATTATTAGCCGTTGCATTGATTTCAAGAAGGTTTATATGAGGGGAATGGAAACTAATTCACTAATGGCAGGCTTGATAGCATAAAATAATTTATACTACAACCTTACCATTATGAAACTAAGCTCATCTTGAACTTGGCCTCCCCTTTGGGTGAGCACAATCAATAAAATAGATAACTAACAGAAGAAAATTCAGATTTTAGGGTGGGAACTTGCCTACCCTGAATAAAGGGTGCATCCGCCTATCTCTCCCCAACCCACCCATCTCCTCCAAGGTTAATGATCAATGGGCTTCGACTCCTAATTGATCAATATTTATCTTTTGGTCTGCAAAAAGTCTTCGGACGTGTACAGTGCTCTTTTCTTTCTGATGTTTTGTTGATATGTGATTGGTTAATTCTAGGTAAAGTGTGTATGCTGAAATGCACAATGTTAATGGAGACAGAAGATTTTAATGTAGTAATTTATTAATTAAAAGTTTTTGAGCCACTCAAATCATACTTTTCTTGTATGCCTTTTTTTTTCTTGTATAGAAGCAATATTGGCTGAAGCAACACTCCTTTTCTCCTTCGAGGGACCATGAAGAAATGGGAAACATAAACAATGATGACCAGAATTATGTGGCAATTCCTAATGACGGGATTGATGTTTGGGAAATTGACCCTAGACACTTGAAGTTCGAGAACAAAGTTGCATCTGGGTCATATGGTGATCTGTAAGTGAAAAAAACAACTTTCTGATCGAGTTTATATATATATATATTGAGCTTTGAGATAAAACAAAGGTCCTTTGGTGAGTGAAGAGGTAACTTTCTGACCGAGTTCTTTTTGTTTTGAGCCTTGACATATGGTCCTTTTAAACCTTTTTTAGGTATAAAGGTACTTACCGTAGTCAGGAAGTGGCTATTAAAGTCCTCAAGCCAGAGAGTATAAATACCGATTTGCAGAGAGAGTTCGCCCAGGAGATTTTCATCATGAGGTTTTTAGCGAAAATATTGAATTTTAAATACTTTATGAAAACACGATTCTTTCTTTTTGGATGACTGCATTAGTTTTAGGAAATATCTGTTCCTTTAATTGACTATTTCCTTCAAAACTCGCAGGAAAGTTAGGCACAAGAACGTTGTACAATTGATTGGTGCGTGTACCAAGCCGCCGAACTTGTATATTGTAACAGGTAGCCTGCCGATTCTTTATTTGTTGATATTAACATGTTGAAAGTGAGTTTTAAGATTATCATTCCTTTCTAAATGAAAAAAATGAGTATTAATATTAGCTTTCTTTCATTCTTTTTTGCCTTCTCCTTGTTGTCTCTCTGCAGAATTTATGTCAGGTGGAAGTGTATATGATTACCTTCATAAGCAAAAAGGCGTTTTCAAGCTTCCATCCTTGCTTAAAGTTGCAATAGATGTTTCCAAAGGAATGAACTACATGCACCAAAATAATATAATCCATCGGGATTTGAAGGCTCCCAATCTTCTTATGGATGAAAATGAAGTAAGATGCTTAAACTTGGTGATTTTATAATGATATAATTATGAATCTCATCCTTATACTTGACAGAAATTGAGAGGTTAATCTGTTTACTTAAATTTGTCAGATCTCGGTTCATGTGCTTTAGAAAAAGCCGAGTAGTCCATTAGTCCAATTGAGTATTGTTGTTAAACCTTGACATTGAAATCATTGGCCTAGAAATAAGCAGTTCAACAATTTATATGCAATGAATTAGAAAAAAACCAGTAACTGAATTTCATGCATTTGTCATAACCGTACTAACTTCTCAGTTTTCGTAAAATATTGGACCGAATTCTGACAAAGAAAATAAATTAACTAATTTTTTAGTTTAATTTACAGCTTTCATGCAGTGTTCACATCATAATAAAGGTTTGTTACGTGATTTTCATACAGGTGGTTAAGGTTGCTGATTTTGGTGTTGCTAGAGTGAAAGCTCAATCTGGAGTTATGACGGCTGAAACAGGAACGTATAGATGGATGGCTCCTGAGGTGAGTTCTCGGTTGAATATATATGGTATCAGATGCAATGTGTCCTTTTATGTTGTTCCGTTAATGTGATTTAATAATAATTCTTTTCCGAGGAGATATTAAATTCGAGAAGGCAAATACTAATTTGTCTGAAGTAACATTCAAGAATTTTTATGCTTGCCTCTTTGTTATCTTCTCTTTATGTTTATTCATTATCATTAGAAAGGAAATAGGTTTGTAGCTGATCGGTTCGCGCCCCGTAGTGACTTTTAGTTTCAATACATTCTTTAGATAGATTGGTGGTGTTAGAGTTTGTGGCCTGAATATCGTTTAGCTCGGCCTGAATATCGTTTAGCTCGGCCTGAAAAGTTGGCGATGCAACTCACTTGGTAAACAAATAAAATTGGAGGAAAAATGGAGCATGTGATTGATGTGGAGGCTCTCGGGCCAGAAAAATTGGCAGAAAAGTTCGCAGTGCGACCCACACATCCAATTCATACATGACGACCATACTTTTTCTTTTACTTTTCAATTGAAAATAGAAAATACGTATTGAAGAAACCTCTAATCTAAGAAATACCTATTGAAGAAACCTCCTTTTCTTCTAAGATTTCTTTATCATCGAGTAATTAACCTTAAAATAAATAATAGAAATTATGGTTATAGATTAAGATTGAGAAGCTAAAAAACTTCTAGTCATAAACCTCTTATAATTATAGTTATAGTGAAATTCACTTTCTTTCTTTTTTTTATAAAGTGAAATTCACTTTCGATTATAGAGATCAGGGATTAAGGTTTTCACGTAAATCTGTCTCATTTTATTGTGCGATTGTTTGTTTATTGTTATGCTTTGTGTAACTGGGAACAGGTGCCAATAGGGATGGATCGAGGGAGGGCGGGTAGGAGCACTCGACCCCTTGAAAATTTAAAATTATTATATATTTTAGATTTTTTCTATGTATGTTCTTTTAAAAATCTATTTTTGTCCTCTGAAATTTTAAAAGTTCAAGTTCGTCCCCCAATATAAAATCGTGCGTCCGTCCTTTGGTGACAACATATTAATCCATGATATTATTATTCCTATTGTAATCGGCTGTTCATCTTATCGTTTTCTTACGACAGTTATTTTACATTGAAGGTTATTGAACACAAGCCATACGATCACAAGGCCGACGTATTCAGTTTCGGAATTGTATTATGGGAGTTGTTAACTGGAAAGGTTCTTATTTTAACATGTTCGGATTGTTTTCATGAAGTCGTTTGCTTGCTTCTTATGGTTAGTTCTCATGGTAACTTGCTTGTATTTCTTATTGTCAGCTTCCATATGAATGTTTAACCCCATTACAAGCTGCTGTCGGAGTCGTTCAAAAGGTATTTCATCAGTTAAATCTCAATTTAATTTCAATTAAATGTCATCATTGAATTCCCATATATTTTATGTATTTTTTATTAACAATTTAATTCCGTACCTCTAAAATTTCGGAATTTTACATTCTAAAATTTCTAATATAAATTCTTAAGGTTACATCCTTTAACATAAAATTATTTGTTTGTCTCAGCATGAAAAGATTATTTCATGGAGCTTGGGACTTTATTACCACATTGAAGTAATCATTTCTTCGTTTGACATGTTGATTTTAGGGTCTTCGTCCAACAATTCCAAAGAACAATAACCCGAAGCTTGCTGAACTGCTTGATAGATGCTGGCAACAAGATCCAACATCAAGGCCTGATTTTTCTGAAATTATAGAGATTTTACAACAAATTGCCAAGGAGGTTCGTTTTTCTTCTCTACCCCCTTAACTTGTTCTTTTGTTTCGCAGAGACTAAGTCAGAAAACTTTTTGGGACATGGTTGAATTAAAAGTTTTTGAGGGGTCTAAAATACGGTTTTATCGTTGTATTGATTTATAATTTTATAATTTTGAAGAGATTAAACCATAAAATTATCATTTTGGAGACCAAAATGTAATTTTACTATTCTACTAATTTAAATTTTTACATTTTCTAAAGGGATTAAACAGAAATTTTACCATTTTAGATAGTCTCTTTCTTGTGTGAATTGAGTTGGGATTATTAGGAGTGTAAATGAGATGAATTTAGGTAGAGCTCAACTCGAATCGAACCATTTAAAGTGACTCAATTCAATTTGAAAGCTTAAATTTATCAAGCTTGATTCTAATTTGAAATTAAAAAGAGTTTGACTTGAGCTCGAAAACCAAATGGAGATTTGTTACTTCTATTTGTTCAAATCTTGTTTATTTTTTTAATTTAATTTTTAGGTTGAAGTACACAAATGATCCCTCAATTATAGGTTGTTGTTTCGTTGAGTATCTTAACTATTAAAAGTTACAAAATAGTCTCTCAACTATAGGATATTGATTTGTTGAGTTCATCGACTATTAAAAGTTATAAATTGGTCCAAATTTGTCATTTTTCGTTAAAAATTAGTAGTCGTTTGAGCTGGACGTTAACATGTTGACTGACATATGATATTCTTTTAAATTTCTGGGATCATGTTTTATTATACCTCAGTCAATAGGTTAACGTCCAACTCAGACTGCAGTCAATTTTTAACGTAAAAGGATGAACTTAGAACATATAAATAGTCGAGTGATCATTTTGTAACTTTTAATAGTAAGAAGACTCAACAAAATAATACCTTATAATTAGATATCATTTTATAATTTTTAATAATAAAGTGATTCAACAAAACAACATATTATAATTACAGACGATTTGTGTACTTTATTTTTTCTAAAAAAAATTAATCTATTGAAATAAAAAATTTGCAGTGGCAGTTGTATTATGGGTATTGAGAATCTCAATTATCATGTCGCATTGCTATTTTTTTAAAAAAAAAATATTAAATAATTTTTAAGATTTTAATAATTTAATTTAAAATGTAAAAATTTTAATAAATTACTTTCTTAAGTTTCTTGTAGAGCTTTTTGAATCGGATATTAAGTAGTTTGTCTTGTCTCGTTAAAACTCAAACTAAGTTCAAATTTGAGTCGGACTCTCTCAAGTGATAATTAAATTTTAATCGAGTTTAATTTTTTAAAAGAAAATAAATTTAATCTTAATCTTATCTAAAGAGGAGGGGTAGAGGAGACTCTAGAAGAAGGAATGCGATTACTTCCAATGAATTTAAAACAAACTACCTAAAAAATATGAGAAAACAAATATAAACAGTTTGACTACTCAAATGTATATGTACAATCGATTTTTTTTAACCAAATCGAATTTAAATATCTTACTATTTGTTTTGTTTTATTCCTAAATTGCGTTGGCTAGACTCCCAACATCGGTTTAATAAATTAAATTTTCTATTATATGAATCTGTCTCATCAAGTTATACATTGTTAATTTCATGCATTCTCTTCCCTTCTTTTATGTTCCCGGTTTATAAACACAGATAGTTAAAAGGGGATACATCTATCAAATTCTAACACCGGATGAGTTCGTAAAACAGGTCGGAGGCGAAGGCGAGAACCGCCGTAAAGAGAAATCTTCGGGAAGATTTCTGTCCGTCCTTAGAAGAGGAGGCGGCAGCCACCAAGGTTAGACAGTATTATTATGCAGGGATGTTCATAGTCTGATCATTAGCCATTGTCTATTAACTATGTTGCCCACTCCCACCATTTTCACCGGCACTGTACAGTAATTTATTCGCCGATCGAGTTATCTGATCGGATTTTTGTTTCGATTTCCTCGTTCCTCTCGTCATAGCTTAACCGGCCATCCCTTTTGTTCTTTTGGCTTTGGTTTATCAATCTGCAACCAGGAATGGTGGCCATGAATGAGCTTTGTAACTTGTTATTTCCACCGCGGCCTTATTATTATATATACTTTTATTTAACAATAAATTGATTTTAATGATTTATTTGATACAAATCTATACCTTATATTTAATAATATATACTCTTTATTTAATATATATATATATTTATATTTTAAATATTCTGTTAACTTTTTAAAAAAATCAATTTTAAATGATACATTTAAAGATTAGTTCCACACGTTAACATATTTCTAAAAGATTCGTATAAATAATATAAGTTTATAATACATGAATAAATAATTATCTTAAAACTAGATTTTATCTTATATGTAGAAGTAAAAAGAATGTATATTGTCTACCATTATTTGTAGAATGGAAACTATCTGCCCCTTATTTGCAAGGGTATTCAAACGGGTAATTCGGTTCCGAATTATCCAAATTTTATTAAGAAAATTTTTTCTCCATTAATCGTTAATTGAACCGAACTAAGTTCGGTTAATTGATCGGTTAATCGAATTAATGAAATTTATAAATAATATATAAATAATATATATCATATATTAAATATTTAATATTTTTTTTATTTATTCGGTTAATTTGGTCTATTAATTTGGCAAAAACCGAGTTCAAACACCGCTAAAGCTAAATAATATATATATATATATATAATTAAATATTTAATAATTTCGATTAATTTGATTAATTAACCGATTTCAAACTGAATTAATCGAAATCGAAATAAAAAAAAACTATTAACCATTAACCGACCGATCAACCAATAGAAATTTCTGTTCAGTCGGTTGTAATCCTTCATGCCCCTTGCACCTTCACACGCCTATTTATTGATCTTACATTTATGTTTTGACTTCCTTTTATATAATTCGTTTATTTATTGGTTTATTAATTTAAAATAGGGGTGTTCAATCTATCAGTTGAGTTAATCGATCAAACTAAATTACTAAAAATCGTAAACTGTTTTTTTTTCTCTTTTAATCGTTAATCGAATCAAAATTTTTCAAAAACTTTTAATTGAACCGAATAAAGTTGGGTTAATAGAATTAACCAATATTTATAAATAATATATATTATATATTTAATATTTTCATTTTATTCAATTAATTCATTCGGTTAATTCGATTAAAACCGATATTTAAACACTCCAAAGGCTAAACAATATATAAAAATATATAATATATTAAAAATTCGATTAATTTGGTTAATTAACCAATTTCAAATCGAATTAACCAATAACCAATGTTTGAAAAAAAATTCTTAAACGTTAACCGAGTGAACAAAAAATTAACAGACCGATTAATCTAAAAAAGCTTCTGTTTGGTCATTTAATTCGGTTAGAATTGAACTTTGAACACCCTTAATTAAAATTAAATTATATTTAATAATATCTTTTAATTATTCATATGTTTATATTGTATATATTATTATAATAATTCGGTTTTAACAAAATATCATCTACGTAAAGTAGGGATGACAGTATGACCCGAACCCGATGGGGAAACCCGAAATCCGGTCAAGTTCGGGTCGGGTCGAGTTGAATGATATTGGGTCGGGTATCGGGGATTTTTTCGGGTCGGGTTCGGGGCAAGGTATCCCCGACCCGCCCCGATTATATATATATATTATATATTTATATTAATTATATATATAATATTTTATATATTTTATATTAATTATATATAAAATATTTTCAGGTTCATATTTGGGTATAATATTTCGGGTCGGGTTCGGGGACGAGACAAAAAAATCCCCGACGGGACGTCTCGATAAAAAATCCGTCGGGGATCAGATCAAGGTCGGGGTCGATAATTCATTTCGGGTTCGAGGACGTGACGAACAAAACCCGCCCGTGTCCTAATGTAAGGTAGTTGAATATAAACATATTGGCAAAAGGGTACTTTAGGCAAAAAAAAACTAATGTGGGCCTTGACAGTTTTTTACATTAAATGTGACTCTAGAACTAATAAAAAGAATTAAATTTGATCATTTAACCAATGATTTTTGTCGTTGACCATTATGATGATAACGTGACACTTTATTGTATTGATGTAACGATCCACAATGTTGATGTGATAGTTTATAGAGGTTGGTGAAGTGACATATGTACTAAATTAATTTTTCTTTCAAATTCGAGGGTCAAATTTTAAAGTTTAAGGGCTTATTTAATTTTCTTAAATAAAATAAAAATATTTGAAATTCAAAATATAAAAATATTCAAAAACTTAAATATAATAATATCAAAAATAAAAATTAAATTACTAAAAAAATTAAAAATATATATTATTTTATTTTAAAAATAAAATAAAATATAATTCATATAGAATTCGCCTCTTAATTCTATTGTTATATTCAATTAAAATATTTCTCTTAATTGGATAACTATTTTTTATTTTTTTAATTATATAGTTTCATGATAATTTATAAACAAATTTTAATTTCATAATTTTTAAATTTTACTTTTTATAAGACTTTATAATATTTATTTAATTCACTTTTATAAAAAATTAGTGAAATAGAACTAAATAAACTCTTAGAATTTAAAGATAAGTAGATGTAAATATATAAAATAAAATTTGTGCAGGAAGAACAAATTTAAATTTATATAAATAATAGTCAAGTTAAATTCAAGGTAGAAAAGTAACAATTTTTTTTTATTTTTTAATAATTTAATTTTTATTTTTCTTATTATTATATTTAAGTTTTTGAATAGTTTTATATTTTGAATTTAAAAAATTTTATTTTAAAAAAAAATCAAATAAGCCCTTAAACTGTTAAAAAATAAATTTGGCCTCAAACTTGAAAAAAAAACAATTTAGTTCATCTACCACTTTACCAGCTATCGTTGACTGTCACGTTAGCACTGTGGATCGTCACTTCAGCACCGTAAAGTGTTATGTTAATATCGTTATTGTAAACGACGGAAAACATTGATCAAATGATCACATTATAATCTTTTTATAAGTTCGAGGGTCACATTAATTTTTTTTGACAAATACAAACCGTTACCCTTTTGCCAAAAATATTTTAATAAAGTATTAAAGTTATTTAATTTAGATATAATTTATTTTATTTTATTTTTTATTTTTATTAAATCATTTTAATAAATTTAAAGGATTAAAATTAATGTTATCACTATCATATCAGTTGATGCATTTTCCTGATACTGATACATATTGATATTTATGTACATTGATCTTTCATTTTAAAAATATATTTTATATATTATATAGCATAAATATTCTTTAACTAAATATATAAAAAATAATTTTAATTAAGTTTAAAAATTAATTTAAATAATTATATTTTATTTTGAAATATAATTTTGTGAGAATAATTTAAAATATTAAAATAATTGAATATATCTCTAATAAATAATTTATAAAATTAATAATACTTCAATCTTTTAGACGTTTGTAATTTTAATATGAAATAAAATTTTAATTTAATTAAAATTTATACTTTTATTTACGTAATTAAGATATATACGTGTTATGTAATATATCAAATTTATTTATTTTAAATGGTAAACCTGAAAGAAATGAAAGATGGATGTATATTAATATCAACATGTATCAGTATTAGAAAAAAATATATCTATTGATAGTATTAATTTTAATCTGTTAAAATTAATAACATGATTTAATAAAATAATAAAATAATTTATATATAAATTAAATATTTTTATTACGTTACTAATATATTTTTATATTCTAATGTCTTAGGTAAATGATATTTTGTTAAAATTGAATTATTATAATAATATATATAATTAAATATATGTATAATTAAAATATGATATTTAATATAAATCAATTTGAATTAATATTTACCATTAAATAAATAAATTATATAATTAAATAAATGAAATATATAAAAAGAAGCTAAAACATAAATATGAAATCAATACCAACAACCAGTTGGTCTAGTAAGATGAAACATTAGATCCCTTAAGTAAGGTCAGGGGTCCGAATCCTGGCGTTTGCGAATGGAGCAAACTGGATTGGAATGCTCACCCTCCCCTCTATAGTACCCGATCTAGATTAATCGGTTAATAGATCAGATACCAGTGATTAATTCAAAAAAAAATATGAAATCAATAATTATTATAGCTACGTGGCGTGTAATGGTGCAAAGGGCATGAAGGGGAGCACATTAAGGGGCAGACGATGTCCATTCGGGCTCTTAATTTTAGTTAATACTTAACAGTAGAAGTTTATTTTAATATTCTTATAGATTTAAATTTTAAATTCCTAACTAATTATACTCACTCAAGCTGAAATTAGTCTTAACAAAGTTACATCACATAATAAAGTTATTTGATTCATTTTGTTAAACAAAATTAATAATTCTTTATAGGGTAAAGTACACAAATGATCCCTTGACTATATGATATTGTTTTATTAAGTCTACCGACTATTAAAAGTTACAAAAAGATCATTTAACTATTAATATGTTTCAAATTTTTCTTTTTTTTTGTTAAAAAAATTGACGATTATCTAACCTAGATGTTAACATGATGATTGAGATATGATAGTCATTTGAGATTCTGAGATCATATTTTATCATATCTCAGTTAGCAAGTTAATCTCTAACTCAGATTGTCTTCAATTTTTTAAAGAAAAATGATGAGTTTGAGACATATGAATAGTTAGATGATCATTTTGTAACTTTTAATAGCCGATAGAATCAACAAAACAACATCCTATAGTCGAGAGATCATTTTGTAACTTTTAATAATCGATGACTTAATAACACAATATCCAATTATCGGGGACTGTTTGTGTACTTTACCCTTATATATATTTGATAATTTTTATACGTTATTTGTAAATTTAGGACACTTCACCAAAATTGATTATTAATAAAATATAAATTTAAATTCACTTATAGTTTATCAAAATATAAATTTAATTATTATAAGATAAACTCTATTATTAATAACCAATCTATTATCTTTTTTTCTTCATATTTTGATCATTGAATATTTTTTAAAGGAAAACCATTAACGTTATATTTTTACTTCAAATAAGGTGGTGAAGACAAAAATAACATGAAAAATAAAAGATAAAAACAAATCATATCAATATCTTTATTAATTTTTAAGGATCAATTATCAAAATAAAGAATATAACATTAATGAAAATTGTTTAAAAATGATTGACCAAAATAAGAAAGTAATAATAAATGGATGACTAATGGTGTAGTTTACCCATTATCATATCACTTGGCACGTTCAGCCATTGCACGTTAAAACCACTAGAATGCTTCTTTCTAGCAAAACTGTTGATAATGACACGTGTCATTCCGTCAGTGAACAACCCTTCACACAATAAAACGCTACCGTTTGGCTTTCGATTTCGACGTACGTGCAATGCAGTCGCGTGCATTAACGCGCAAAAATTTACACACAGAAAACTCGTATAAAATCAGCAAAGAAGAAGATGCTTTAGCGGCATTTCAATCTTTTCCAGGAAAGAGAGAGAGAGAAAATAATAATAAATTAATAAAAAATATAAACTTGTTTGGGTTTCAATTGAGAATCAATGTTCGATTGAATCCTTCATATATATATATATTTCTTCAAGAATCACTTTTGATTTTAATTGATGATGAAGAATAAAAGGGCAAGGACGAGTGTGGACAAGGCGGTGGTTGATGTTTGGCAACGGGAAGTCGGAGCACTCTCGACTAGGAATTTCGCCCACCGGCTTGCAGCTTCTGAGGTCTAACTCTATTCTTATCCTGGATAACCTTATCCCCGTTTTCTGTCTTTCTCTCTCTCTTTTGTTCCTTCACTTATTCTCATTGGGTGAGTTTATTAGTGATCTTTTGATAATGAAACCGATACCGAGCTTAGTACATTTATTTGTTTGTTTTCTGATTGATGGTATTTTAGCTGGTTTATTTGATTTTCAACTTCAATTTATCTGGGATTCACAAAATAAACAAGGGGTCTCAAATACTGATAGGAAAAGCAGTGATCAAAATGTCTTTTTTTTACAGAGATTTATCAGGAATTTTTTTGATCCTTTTCTTTCAATTTTTTCTTCAGAGTATAAATATCCATATTTTTTTTTATAATAACTGTAATAGTCATGTAAGAAATTCCAATGTTAGCACTTTCCTTTGAACTGCTATAATTGTTGTTAGTCTTATGGACTGCCGTTCGATGTAATTCCGGCTTCAGGTAGCAATATTCGACTCGAATCTTAACCCAAAATGGGGGAATAGCATTTTGCCATTTGATGTAATTGTTGTTAATTAGCTTTGGTTCCTTGTGTGTTAATGTTTTGAATGAATGGATGTGACTATGATATTATTTTTTATTGCTAATATGATTATAATATAAGTTTGAGACAGCTGAGAGCAAATGCCTTGAAGGTGAAAATATGAACTTTTAATCTTTTTGTTTGGGAACAAGTTTTTATTGGTTGATTTATTTTATGTTTCCCAGGATCTTGTGCTCCGACTCGAAATTTACAAGAAACTCGAAAAGCACCGAGGTTGTGTGAACACTGTGAGCTTTAACGCTGATGGTAACATTTTAGTCACAGGCTCCGATGATAGGAGGGTTATACTATGGGATTGGGAAAGGGGGCATGCCAAGCTTACTTTTCAGTCAGGCCATGTCAACAATGTTTTCCAAGCAAAAATCATGCCTTACTCAGATGATCGCACCCTGGTTACTTGTGCTGCTGATGGGCAGGTGAATTTTTATCTAAGCATGCCGTTTTAAAAAAAACGAGGATCAATTTAGAAAGTTCCTCGAGTCTAGTGATCAATTTTCAACATGTATTTTGTCCCCTTTTAGTGCAAATGTGAATGGTTTTAGTGTATCATGAAAATGCATTTTTTCTAACAATTGCAACCTTGGATATATGAGCCTTGGAGGGGTTAATGGAACTGCAAAACTTTTATCTTCCACCATTATGAGCATCATTGCATTGCATCTACTTGTAAATTTTTCATTTTAGAATAAAAGTGAGGCTTTCATGGAAGTGGTGTGCTAAGCAGCCAACCTTTAGCATGCACGGTAGCAAAGAGTTGTGTATACTGAATACTATGGGATTTGTTTTTAATCCCAATTGATAATTGTTTCATAATTGTAGGTCCGACAAGCTCAAATTTTGGAACGAGGTGTCGAAACTAAGCTGCTGGCCAAACATCAGGGACGAGCTCATAAATTGGCTATTGAACCAGGGAGCCCTCATATATTTTACACTTGTGGTGAAGATGGATTAGTGCAGCATGTATGTTGTTGTATTGTTGTGTTTAACTGCAAAGTCATCATTATTTCTTTTAAATTCTTTTAGTTGGTAATTTATGGAAGTTTGTAGGATTGAAGAAGCAGAAACAGTTGGTTAAAGAAAACATTTACTAAGTCGACACATCCCGAGTTGGAAAAACCTTTTAAGGAGTTCAATTTCAGTACCAGATTGTCTGCAATTAATAATTTTCTTTCCATCTTATGTTTTCTCTACTTTTTTTTCTTATCTATTGACTCTTTGCCAAAAAAAGAAGTGGTGTCTTATTTATTTTGTATGATAACCTTTTCTCTAATAATCTGAGGTTTTTTTTTTTACTGAATTTTATGTAGCTGACTTAGCACTTGCACTTGCATTTCAGATTGATCTTAGAACTGCAGCGTCTACGGAACTTTTCACATGCCGGCCAATTGATGATAGCAGGGCTTCCATGGCATTTATCCATCTCAATGCTATTGCAATCGATCCAAGGAATCCAAATCTCTTTGCAGTTGCAGGATCGGATGAATATACTCGCCTTTATGATATTCGCAAATATAAGTGGGATGGCTCAACTGATTTTGGTCAACCGGCGGATTATTTTTGCCCCCCTCATTTGATCGGTGATGATCAAGTTGGAATAACTGGCTTGGCTTTTTCAGATCAGAGTGAGCTTCTTGTCTCCTACAATGATGAGTTCATCTACCTCTTTACATGGGATATGGGGCTGGGGCCCAATCCGGTCCCGTCATCTCCGTTATCTGCAATTAATGAAGCAAGTGAATTGGGATTTGATCACTCAGCTATGGATTCCAATGACAAGGTTGTTCCTCAAGTTTATAAGGGGCATAGAAATTGTGACACTGTGAAAGGTGTGAGCTTCTTTGGACCTAAATCTGACTATGTGGTTAGCGGATCCGACTGTGGCCGTATATTTATTTGGAAGAAGAAAGTCGGAGAGCTCATTCGTGTTATGGAAGCGGATAAGGATGTGGTAAATTGTATCGAGTCTCATCCTCATACCACAGTTCTTGCTAGCAGCGGAATCGAGTCTGACATCAAGATATGGACTCCAAAGGGTATTGATAAACCTACTCTTCCCATAAATGTTGAACAGGTATGGTCTTGTCCTTCTAATCTCCCATAGAAAAAAATATATCAAGAAGAAAATAACACCGTATTACAATTTGGGTTATCGACAAGGTAGCTTATGACACCAAATGCATTTTGCTTCATAAACATGTTGACTCGGGGAAAATGATGGAGACATCAGACACCCATCTTTACTTCTGATCTCTCCTAGAGACATTTATGATTTGGTTCTAGACATAGAGGTACCTGTTACAATAAGGTTTTGCTGTAGGTATTTTAGTTCTTAAATGAGCCATTGTGAGTGTAGGGGCGAGGGTTTCGGATTTCGACTTGGGACTTAGTAGTTAAGGTCCAATGGCTTTTAGTAGGGTTTGCTTCTTTAGTTTTACTTTAAGAAATACTTCGTAATCTCTCTCAGTTGACCCATCATGGCATTGAATTCTGCAAATAGTGTGAAATCCAACATGTATTTGTCGACGCTGAGGTAACCAATTGGTTCTGAAACAAGCTCCAAAGATGACATGATGATGTATGACAAGCCGAGGAGTCAATCTCTCAGCCATTACTTTGCGAATGGTTCCTAAACAGCTCTTTCCTTTCTTGTCTTTTATAAATTTTTTCGATGTTGATGATTATGACTATGAGTCGGGAAGATGACATGATTTAAAAAGTTTCTCGGTAGTTATAATGAATGCTTATCGTTAACGATGATCGCGATGATTGTAATTTTGCACTTTTTTCTCGTGTCCAGTTCAAACCGAAACCTAGGGCTTGGATGCACCGTTTTGCTTCACCTCAGGACCTGATGTTGCACTTGTTTTCGATGCGAAGGTGGGATAGTAGCCCAGAGCGTAATGGAGAGAACTCGTCGTCAGCGGCGAGCCAGGAACTTCTACAGCTTATATGGACATTCAATGCCAATAGTGATGCTTCGGATGACGGTGGGAATGCCTCCGGTCCGGAGGACTTGTTTTGTTGAATGATGATGCATGCACACATGCAGGCAACCATGCTTTAGTATATTGTACATAACATAGGGCTTTCAACCACATTCAGTGGGTTTCACAATTTCTTTTATTTATTTCCATTTTTTTTATTAAGTTTGTTTAAGTTCTCTCTTTTGTTCTTAAGACGTTTCCTCATGGAACACATTCATTATGGCTTCATGTATTTTCCATTAATGGGTTGATGTCTCACCTGTCTTGAATTCACTTCGAATTTTAAGATTAAAGTTCGTTCGATTTACCATGACACCATTAATTTTTTTTAGGAGAAAATTAAAAAAAAATGTTTATAATAATTATTCTTAAATACATATAGAAGGGTATTACAGTAATTAGAATGTTTTGATTTTTGCTTTAACTCATTTTTCTCCCTACCAAATTTGTTTAACTAAAAATTGATTCGTTAAAAAATTAACATAATAAGAATAAAATCAATTTGAACATGTATCTTTTCAACTAAATATATTGATTTATTTTCTATATTAAAAATTAGAACAGTAAACTTTAAGTAAATTACATCCATAGCCACTTAATCACAGAAGATTTTAATCTGATTTTATATTTTTAATTTTATCAATTAGACCACTTAATTTCACCCCTTTATCCGTTTAACTTTAATAATATTATATTTTAATCTTTGAATTTTTACCACTTTACCATTTCCTACTTAAAGAGATTTAGTTAATATGAGATTAGCCTTTTTAATAGTATGATATAATTATAAAATAATATTTGTTCAGAATTTTCTTAATCAATTAACAACGCATACGCATCCTACAAATACAAATGCTCGAACCTAGGATCTCTATAAAGACAACATTTCCTTTTACTACTAAGGTCACTTGATGGATTCTAATATGAGACTAACTTTATAATATTAGAATTATTAAAATTTTGACACATAAATTCTTTCAAATTAAAATTTTAGACGTTACGTAAACTTTATTTGGACAGTCAATTAATGGTTAATATTTTTTTAGAAGTTACATGACACGTCATTTTACTACATTATTATTAACTCATAATATTGATTATGTATTTATTTTATGTTACATGTTACATAAAAAATAATTTTAGAAATATAAATATAAATTAATTTTTAAATTTTAATCATTAATATATCAAAATATTAAGAAAAGTATAAATATATTTATAAGTTATATTCAATTAATGTTCATTTAACCTGATAGCTCAATCAAAATCTCTATATATAACATAAATATTAAAAATACCTAAATTGATTATGCATTTTAAAGTTTTCCCTTACAATCTTTCCTTAAAAAAATCTCCAAACTTTACATATTATTATTTTTGAGATAAATAATGAAAATTTATGAAAAATATAAAATAAAAACATGTATTTTGATTTTTTATAATTATACACATAAAACTTTTATTTTAATTACATGATGTATATAAAACTTTAATTTTAACTTAGTTACATCAAAGTTATACACATAAAAAGATGCTATATCAATAAGTAAAATAATAATTTTTAAATATTAAATCAAATTAATAATTAATCTATGTAATTAAAAAAATTAAAATTATGTATATCATTATACATTTAATAAAGATTTATGTATATATTTGATATTTACTCGTAGAAGAAAAAAACTATTTATAAAAATTATCAAATCTAACGGCCCATATGAAATTCAACATTGTTGGATCCCTATTGGCCCAAAACATCCAAGGAGTCAACAAGAAAGAGTTAATTACAAATCTGTCCCTACACACCTCTTCAAGAGCTCTTAAGCTTTTTCAAATTATCAGCGTTTATTAACATTTTCCTTTTCCTTTTCCTTTTCGATACAAAATCAACTTCACATTTTTTTTACAATAACCACAGCTCTTCAGAGGTTCAATCTCGCTCTCTCGCTCTCTATTCAGATAAATCGCCGATTTTCATCAGGTATAATTAGATTTCAGATCGTCTTTTTGATAATCTGCCGATTAATTTACCGATGAAAGCTGAGCTTGTTTTCCATATCGTCCTTTTTTTCTACGATTTTTTTTTATCGGAATGAGGTGATATAGTGATGATATGATCTGCCTGCTCTTTTTATTTTTTATTTACATTTTAGTTATTTGTTGTTTCGATTGATTTTTTAGCTTTCTCTGGAAATTTCTTAAAAATCATTCTTAGAATATATGAATAAAGTTTTTTTGTTTGTTTTTTAGTATTTGCTTTTGTTTTGACATTTCTTTTTTTCATTTCTATTGAATAGGATATGGTTGTTTCTGGAATATTTCATAGTACTGTTTTTGTGTTTCCAATCGGATGTTAAATGGTCACATGCGAGTTTAGGTGAAATTATGAATTTGATATAAAATCCAATGATTAACTTTTGAGAAAGAGCTGAATGTTAGTTTGAAGTGTATGGTATTACCTAAGGAGTTTGTACTTTACTAAATATTTTACGAGGAACGGGTTTAAGAGTGTTGCCGTATTTTATTCGCCAATTGCAACAAGCGATCGTGAAAAAATTGTTTTTAATATCTTTACTTTATATTAAGGTAGGTAGGTTGTTTTGTTGGTAACAGGTTTAACAGAAAAAAAAGGGGGGGAGTATTGCAAAAAAGAATAGGTTATTTGTTGAGCATAAGGGTTGGAAATAAGAATGAAATGCCTGATAGGCTAAAACTTGCTTTGCTGAATTGTACTGAATTATAGTTCTATGATGTTCATATGTATTCTCAGATGGAGACGACGCTACAATTATCAGCTTTTGAGACTAATGAATCTACCACTGCAAGTTTGCATGAAGGTAACACTTTGATTAAGAGTGATTCTACAACAAATGGGCCTGTCAGTGATCAAAATGTAAATGACCCAACAATTGTTGGAGCTAGTAAACAAGATGAGGCTTCCAGTAAATCACATAGCTTTCCTTATATTTATCGACAAGACGTTGTCAAGAGTAATACAAGTGGTTCAAATGGGATTGTGAGTGAAGTTGCTGGTGACTCAGATTCAGATGGAAGCATAACTGATGATGAAGAGGACGAAGATGAAGATAATGAGGATGTTGATGCCAACAGCAATGCTAATGGGAGTGGTGACGGGAACAAAGGTGACCGTGAGTATAAGTGTGGTGATCTTCAAGCTGATCAGATTCGGGTACCATGGATGGATGATACTGAACCAGTTCAAAATATCAATATTGATTGGGGTTTCTTACATGGTGATTATGTAGCTGCTGCTTCAGACTCAACTGGGCAGGTGGGTGTTGTGGTGGATGCCAATATCTCTGTTGATCTGTTGGCTCCTAATGGATCTATTATAAAAGATATATCCCCTAGAGACTTGCAACGTGTGAGGGATTTTGCTGTGGGTGATTATGTGGTCCTTGGTCCTTGGCTAGGTAGAATAGATGATGCTTTAGATAATGTCAACGTGTTCTTTGATGATGGCTCTGAGTGCAAAGTTATGAGGGCTGAACCATTGAGTCTCAAACCAACTACTAGGAATACCCTTGAAGATGATAGTAGTTTCCCATATTATCCTGGCCAGCATGTGAAGGCAAACTCTTCATCTGTTTTCAAGAATTCTAGGTGGTTATGTGGCTTATGGAAGCCTAACCGGTTAGAAGGTACAGTAACTAAAGTTACAGCTGGATCGTGTTTATTTATTGGATAGCATCTGCTGGCTATGGGCCTGATTCTTCCACTGCCCCAGGTGAAGAGCAGAATCCAAAGAATCTAAAATTGTTGTCCTGTTTTGCCCATGCGAATTGGCAAGTGGGTGATTGGTGTCTTCTTCCAACTTCATCACAATCCATTCCTTTGGACAAGGGTTTTTCTAAACTGCACCTTGGTGTTTCCATGAGAAATGGGAGAAATCATGAATGTGATTCAGAAGAGATGGATGAATCAAATGATAAATCCGAATCCATGGATCTTGATGTAATGCCTACACCTGATGAAAACAACGTCATTGTTGAAACTAAAGAGAATGGCACTATTGACAATAAAGTCTCACCTGAATCTAGCTCTTGTAGCAGTGTATTATCAGTTTCAAAGGAGACTGTCCATGAGCATTGGCCCCTTCGCCTCAAGAAGGTCCGTAAAATTGTGATTAGGAAAGACAAGAAAGCAAAAAAGAGGGGATAATTTTGAAAGGGCACTTTTAATTGTCAATAGTAGAACAAGAGTTGATGTTGCATGGCAGGATGGAATAGTGGAACGTGGAGTGGATGCAACAAAATTGATCCCAATTGAAACTCCTGGTGATCATGAATTTGTTGCACAGCAGTATGTGGTGGAGAAAACCTCTGATGACGGTGATGATACATATGAACCGAGGCTGGTTGGGGTGGTCAAAAGTATTAATGCAAAGGAACGGACAGCTTATGTAAAGTGGTTAAAGCCAGTTGCCAGGGCAGAGGACCCTCGTGAGTTTGACAAGGAGGAAATTGTAAGTGTGTATGAGCTGGAAGGACATCCAGATTATGATTACTGTTATGGTGATGTAGTAGTTCGATTACCCCTAGCTTCTTTCCCCGTGCAATCTGTTTCTGAAGAAGGTTCCCTTGAGGAACCAAAGCAGGAAGATGAAACAAAGGAGGTGAAACGAGACTTAAAAAATAACTCAAGAAACAATAAAGTAGAAGGTGCATCACTTGGGTTGGGAACATAACTGGCCTGAAAAATGGTGATATTGAGGTTACGTGGGCTGATGGGATGGTCTCAACGGTAAACTTGATTCCTTATTCTGTGAACTATTATTTTCTTTTCTTTGAACTTAGAGTTGTCTTTAACTTCTGAATTTTAAACCTTGCGTCTTGTTTTAGTTGGTTTTCTTATTTTTATTACAGTGGTAATCTCTCTTCCCTAATGAGGCTAAATATAAGCATTATAAACTTAGAGAAGGCCTCTGATGACATTTTTAGCTCATCATAATCAATAAACTTATCTTTCTTTGCTTATAAACTGTTTATATCTGCTTATTTTAGGAATATCTTAATTACTTGTATGTTCCATTGTGTGATGATTACTGAATTATTTCATACTGTGCCTTTGTTACCCTTTGGGGGAGCATGGTTATTGTT